CTTGACCCAGTAGTGCTCATTTATTATAGTACCAAACAGCAAGTAGTTTTTGTTAAATTTATTTTTATGTTTGCGTTTTGGATATATTCTTGCATAATTAAAACGATTTATTGTAAACACTTTAAGGATACAACTTACTTGTAGCGCGAACTGATTGAAATCTATGATAATTTTACACATTTATGTACCCTATGATGGATAAACTAATATATACAATGTTCAACCTCCATTTAACACTCATGGAGCGATATTAACCAGTATTTTTGTATCTTTTTATCGAGTTTCAATTTGTGAAAGGTGCAGATTCGAACTAATTTACAATTACAAATTAAGAGTATCACATCAACTATTTGATCTGTTACATCTATACAAGTAAAAATCAATGTTTAATACTGTTTATATATACACTGCCGTAAGTAAAGACAAATTGCTGATTTACTTGCAAATATAATATTACTGTACATGTACATATGATTACATTTATACTATTTGGTTTCCAAGGAAACACTAATCAGCTAATCACCCCAAAAAATAACAATAATCACTGAATCTGTATTTCTTTCATTTGTTAATCCTGACATAGGTTTCCATAGAAACGTTTATAAAAATATACTTATTATGATTAAGAATGGCAAAAAAACCAAATGTAAGCTCTTTTTTTTATCTGATTTTAATACTTATTCCAAAAAATAGCGTTCATTAAACGGTTGTTTGCAATTCACCTCCCCAAAGGGGCTCAACAGCCGTTTTATTCAAGCGGGGGTTTTTAACATTTATTATCCCTAAATGAAGACCAATCAAACTGAGCTGCAATTTTATAAAAATTTTTTTTTTTTGATGCTTCAAAGGACCCTTTTTCCAGATTTTTGTTAATACTGGGGATACATTTTTGTTTTTAATTTGGGGAAAACCCTTTTTACAACTCTTTATTCTATTTATGAAAAAAAAATCTTTTTTTGCTAATAAATTTTAAAAAATTTGATTGGGGAATTATATCTTAAATTTGGGGTATATTTTTTGGCGGAAAATGAAAAAAAGACAAGAAATTGTTTCAGTAAAGTTTCTTTTAACGCTATATTTGATTTGAAGTGACGTCATAACTTTTTAATTGCGCTTCAATTTGATCACTTTCAATTTTTTTATAAAACCGTCAACATGAATTCCAGCAATTACTTTTTAAAGCGCTTCAAGCTTATATTTCAAGTCGTTTACGCTGTGTTATACGTTTAAAAGGAACTCTACTGTACTGAGGTTCAAAAGCATAAAAACATAAAATTTAAATTTCGTACATGAATTAGCAGGCGCACATGAACCAGAAAGATATCAAAAGATACTTAAGATGTTTGTTGGTATAATTTATATATTATTTATCATTTTATTAAGACAGTTACTGGATATGCATAAGATAGTGGAAAATACTCAGCCCAATTTGATTGAATAGTGTTGCAACGCTTTTCAATTTTTGGTCATTTTTCAAAATAAAAAAAGAGATCTTATCATTCTAGGAAAACGTAGTGAGCTAATGATCTGAAATTTTGCACAAAGTTATTGGTTGTATCACTGCATGACATGTAACGTTAATCTCAAAAAAATATTTCCTGTACAGTCATGTCAAAAAACCTCAGTGAAGTCCCTTTAAAACAACCAAAGAATTCTAGGAAACCATAGATTTTATTCATGTAAATTCTTGATATACACATTATAACAATTACTGAGATATCTTTTAAAATGTTACATCATATTAACATAGAAAAAAATGAAACATTTTATTATGACATTTGTCGGCATTTGATTTCAGAAGGACGTAATCCCTATGGAAGTTACGGCAGGTAAGAATAATCACAATAATTTTATGTTGTATTATCATTTAAAGCTCGTTGACATTGACTTGCTGCCTCGCCGCTGGAAGTTCGAATCTCGCAAGGGGCGTTAGATTCTTTATCCAGCTAGCTTACGGAACATCGGTGAAATTCTCGTGCCTGATATAATGCACAGAAGGGGGCACGTAAGGTCTTCCTCCACCATAAAAATGAGCTGAAAAATCACAGAATAACATTAATAATTCTGTTTTACTTTAGAGGCCTACAGTTATAAACATTATAATAGTTCTTTTACGTCTATTAACATCTTAATATATTTCTCATTTTTGATATACTGTCATATGTATGACCTCGCTATTGCTTAGCTATTAATTAACATTGTTTGTTTGGTTTGGTTTTATGGCGCATCAACACAATTTATGTCATGTGGGTCATATGGCGGTGAAACAGGAAAGTTGATGTTTGCTATCCTTGGTGTTACAAGCTTAAAACAACTCCAGGGGTCAAAACCGCCTCACCTGCTAGTGCTAAGAGATGCATAGACTTCAGTAATTCAAACCCATTTAGTCGCCTCTTGCGATCACGCAGGGATAAAAGGTGGCTGTAATTTTGATGTCTCAACCTTGAAAGACATCCCTAAAACTACACCGGGGTCATATTTTTTTTCTAGAATTCTTAGCGTCATAAGAATTGAATACTTACGATAAAATTTTGTTTAAAATGGCGCCATTGTTTATCTTGACAACATGGATTTTGTAGCTCTTTTTGAGGCATTTTGCGTGTTTTCGTTTTAAGAATTAACAAGAATTGATATGATTTTTTCAGGTCCAACAGAGGGGGGCTTCCTCAACTTGGATCAGGTATGTTCAACATCTATTAACCATATCATTAATCGGAGAAAATATACTTTTGCTTGTTTGTTCTTACTTTTTATTATAAGTATGTTACACATCTATTCAGCGTAAAATAATAAATAGGAGGCAATATAATTGTTTACTTGATTTTGTTGTGTTTTTTTTACATACATTATATATTCTTCTTTATTTTAATTATGTTATTTAGAAAATACATATAAAATTGTGTTCATTAATTATTTTAATTAATGGTTTTAATTGCTTTTCTTTCAGGTCGTGGCGGCGCTAGTGTATGTAAAGTTTTGATCTTTTTTGCTTTACTCGTATTTCACACATTATAACGATTTCTTTTTAATCGTTTTCAAGAAAACACATGTTTTTAAATCTTACTGGTGAATAATCATTCAAATTTAGTTCTCCAACTCTCAATTTTTTTATTTAGTAGTGATATTCATATACATGTATACCCAGCAGTACATGTAATTATGGTAGAATGAAAAAAAATCAATGACTGTTATTAAACAGATAAGTTGTTTATTTTAATTTTGAAAGCTCACGGATTTATTTAGCATGTTATTAAAGCATATTTATTATTAATAATTTAACTTGTGTGACGGCGTGACCGAGTTGTTAACGCGTCAGGCTAGTAATTTTAGGATCGCTAGCCGCATGTGTTCAAACCCAGTCAGGGACAATCCGTTGTTTCCTTGAGCAAGAAACTTTACACTCTTTGCTTAGTACTGGTTAGCTCTAGGAACGGATTCGATAGTGTTTCAGTAAGCTTATACCTTCCGATACAATCATACTTAAATAAATTTCCTACAATCCAAACTAATTAATGAGCCGCGTCATGACAAAACCAACGTAATGCGTTTGCGACCAGACCAGCCTTCGCATCCCGCTGTCTGATCAGGATCCATGCTGTTTGCTATCATTTTCTCTACTTGTTATAGAGTTTGTAAACGAACAGCATGGATCCTGATCAGACTGCGCATTATGTTGGTTTTGTCATGACGCGGCTAATTTGTTATTTCTATAAATTTCAGAATGGTGGATTGCGATGCAGTATGCCTAATTAAACTAGCTACATGGATGTTAGAAACAGCAAACAGCTATCTTAATAAATGTATTGACATTCTTAAATACAAAGGGACAAATAACTTTGACTACATTTACATATAAATTATAAATTGCTTACATTTAGATATGTTATTATTAACATTGATTACAAGTGCCTACATGTAACTATATATGTATGTACCTTTAGTTAAATGATTTATGCTTGAACAGTTTCAAGTTAAGAAACCTCTCAAATACAATATCAAGCGAGATAAGAGAATATGGGTCACGCATCAAAAATGTTTGAAATGCATGATTGTTGAAATGATTGTTAACAACAAAAACAATGGTTTGTAAAACAATACACTTGTAAACTTTAAATCTATATTTGTAACAGAAATAGAAAAAATATATTATAGCATAAAATCGGCTATTTTTCCCTTTTTTGCCCATGTTATAACGGGGCCAAAACCATGCGTTAATATAGTCACGCGCTCTTGTTATAGCCCGGTTATACCTATGCGCAATACAAAGAGGCCCAGTAAACAAACAAAAAATGACGATTTGGCCTGTTTGCCAGAGTCATGCGCTCTTGTTATATTGGAATTATTAATTCGAGGGCCTCAGTCGCATAACGGCGAGCAGCATTCAAGTAATTATGCCGGCAATACGGCGTATAGACATCGCCGATTATCTTGGTTGTCGCCCTTTCTTAGAAACGGACAGTTGTCAGTGTAAACAAATAGAATCTGTCATTCAGTATTAACCACGGATTTATATAATAAATCCGTGGATTAACTTACAAAAATGGAAAGCACAAAATGAATATAAGAAAACGTTGTTTTATTGACGTTTATATTGATAAATGTTCTGTATGTTTCTTTGAGAGAATAATGTTTTATGCCTGAATTTTTTTTAAACTTGCGTGCTTAAAAAAAAACCGATTCTGAAATTGAATCTGATGTCACTGATCTTTTTCCTACCGCCAATCTGTAATCATTCTAGGAATTTCTGAGGCACCTGTTTTGTCTTGGGTAGAGTAATGTTATGTTTTTCTTAAGTTATTATATCTCCAAAGTTAAACTTTGTTAAATCAATTAAAATTTGAAATTTCGTTCGGTTCTCAAGTTGTTGGCCCCGGAAAAAATAAACCGTTCCTCGGGACTCTGCAGACGTTATAACACGGAAAAACGTGCGTTAACCCTATATACTAAAATGATATTCAAGGAATGACTTTGCACTATGTTTATGGTTTTTGTATCACAAATCTTGAAATATCTGCAATATTTCCGTCCTACAGTTAAAGACACAAAAAGACATCTAGCGCAACCATTTAGGTTAAGTTAATTTAATTAATATCAGCGGTTATCTATGATTTGTTGATTGTTTATTACTCCCACAGCAAAGTTTTAGCTATACGTTGCGGCCGTAAAATATCGCTCAGTAATAATTATTTGTTCTTGTATTTCCACAAGTTTAAAAGTTATATATTGTTACTCTTAAATTTAGTCACCGGTTTAAGATTTTTAGATACTGATTTTATACCTTGGACGTGAGCCGTTCTCAGCTTATGTAAAGGTACATGTAATTTTCTAAATAAAAGCTAATCAAAGTAATCGATCAATACACAAAAATAAAAAAGCCTTAATTTATTTGTTCTTTATTCCCAAAGATTTTAGTAAAATTTTTATTTTACAAGGAAAATTTTTTATTATTTTGGGGCCGTAAAATACCCCCCTTTTTAAAGGGTTTTGAAGTCAATTTCAAACTTGTTCTCTCAAAATTTTTTCTCATTTACTTTACGACATTTCAATGTCGATTGAGTTTTATAGCAGAGAAGAAATAACAGTGTCACGTTAAAAGATAAAATCTTGATTACAAAAAAATATCAAATAACATCAGGAAATATTATAGTAGGAGAATTAGAATTAATACAACGCTTAAGGGAAGTAACTCTTTAAAGAGGAGAATATACTCTACATGATACTTCTACTGAAACATGTAGCTTTCATGCTGAAATTGTAAAAAAAAAGAAAAGATCAGCACGAAAAAATTAAAATGATGAAAGCTTTGTAAACTAAAATATAGTTAAACTGAATCCCTAAAGAACGCCAAAAACCGACAAAATTGAAAATGTTGAAGGCACGGTTTGATTGGGCCTGTTGATGAACGGTCCTAGAAATTGCAAGTTACCGTCCACGCCCCCTAGCACCGGCAATACTGAAACACGAAAGTGGTGAAATTTAAGCCTGTTAGCAGGAACATATGTTTTTTTCATTCTACCAAGTAAGTCCACTTGACCGGACTTTAGTATAATTTTACATCTAAATATAGGATGTTTTTAAATTCAAATTTCACCACTTTGGTTTTGTAAATGTTGAATTCTGCTTAAGCCGGTGCTAGGGGGCGTGGACGGTAACTTTCTTTTCTTTTTATTTTGGTATACTAGATAACTACAGTCTTCCTCTCAACAGCTGTATGCCATGTAACAATGTAACAATATTTAAATAACAACAAAAAAGTTAAATGTTTATGAAACATGAAAAAATAAAAATCCAATCTAGCTGCCGTATGTGAACTTTAAAGCAGAAAAATAAACTAAATCTTAAATCGTCAATTTTTATATAAAATATTTTGACTTAAAACCAAAATAAGAGGATCAAACTTATGATCATCAAAAATGTAGTTGTTGTGCTTAGCTGTGCTGAGCATGACTGAGTACTTAAACTTGCTCAAACCGGTGCTAGGGGGAGTAAGGGATATTGGACTTTTAACATTATCCTTCATGAACAGACTAAATCAAACCGAATCTGCAATTTTCATGTAATTTTGCTGTTTTTGATTGTTTTAATGCTTCCGAGGGATCACTTTGTTTCCAGATATTTATTGCATAGAATCGTCTTACATATGGGGATGTTTCTTATCTGAGATTTTACTATTTTTTATGTTCAAATGTTGAATTCTGCTAAGCCGGTGCAAAAAAGAAAATGCCATATGCACCTGTTACACAACAACAAAACTTTAGATTCCAATACTTAGTTTCATATTACCAAATAGGTCTTTGAAAACAATGAGATATTAAAGTTAAATACAGAAAAACAATAAATGGAATAGAGTTTGATATGTATAAATGCATGTATCTATAAAAAAACAATCAAAACAAACATGCCCTGAAAATGCGAATAGATTAGTATGCAAATCTTCCTAACGTTGACAATTATTTCGATGGGGGATAAAGAATAATTCAAGCATTTTTATGACGGGATTATTTATTATTCTTGTGTTTGTAAATCAATAATGTTTGTACGGGGTCAATCGGCTATTTCTCATTTTATTAAAAGATACATTACACTTTGGGGCGTCCGAAATCAAACCACTTGCCCTAGCTGCTGTTGTTTCGAAGTCCGCCAGGAACATTGTATTCTTTACACCAGACGTCGGGTTTCTACTCCTGGCAAGTCACAATTTAACCATTACAGTATTGGTGTGACTGAGAATCCAACCAAACAAACGTTGTAATTTGGAAAACAAAACATGTCAAAAAAACATGCACATCAATTCTTTTGATTTTTTAAGGAACATACTAAGAAACTTCTAAGAGTTAAAAACGTGGTATCAGCAAGCTTTATATGTTATAAGAAAATATTTGTTCTTATTAACGGCGGATTAGATTAATTTGTTTTTTTATGACATAGGATAAACTATGAAATAAAGAAAGCTTATGCAGATTAAAACCAGTTATATAATAGTAGCTAGCGATTGATCTAGACAGGTTAGGTCCTGTTTGAAAGTACATGACAATCGACACAATATATATAGCTCTTAATGAATTAGAATTTTAAAACAAAAATTAAAAATGAGCTGTTTGATATAAAGTAGAAAAGAAATAGAATCTCTAAAGAAAGTCCAAAACGACAAAATTTGAAAAATGTTGCCGGCCGGCTGTTGATATAAATGTTGATATAAAGTCATCACAAAAACAGGACAGGGCACAAGGCAGAGCACGAACTGTATAATCACTTAAATGATACTAAAAATGAATTATAGTAACCGACAAGGAAATTAAAGAAAACATACAATTGATTGATTGATAGGCCCGCAAAGTAAAAGGGCACAGGGGAAGGGGACTCGAGATTCGTGGAAGGCAGGGGCAAAAATTTAAAAAAAACTTGGGGTAAAAGGGAAGATACTTACGGAGACGAGAAAACAACAAGGGGCTCAACAAAATATGATAAACAAGATCAACAAGGACAGGAGGCGTTCAATTAATGCAACCCCGCACGACCCAGCAACAAGAACCAGTGGCAAGAAGCCCAGGCGGACCCCAACAAAAACAGGACAGGACACAAGGGAGAGCACTGACAGGCTAATCACTAAAATGATTAAATAATTTGTAACTGATAAGGAATTCAAAAGAAAACAAATAAATGATTGCATTCCTGCTTGGTAATTTTTTATGATTAATGGCTTCCCGAGGGATCACGATTTTTCGGCAGTTTTTTTGGTCCTATGACTGTATAAGCAAATGTGGGCCCCCAAACAAAAGGCGGCCCGTTGTATTTTGTTTGTAAAAGTCGTGGGGAACACTTTCTTTTCAGAAGGGCCCGGGCAAGGGCTTAATTAAAAAAAAATAGCTCGAAAAAACGGGCTATCTGATTTTACGGGAGGCCCTAGGCCCCCGGGATTAAACGATTGCGGGGTGTTTTTTGGGTTTTCTTTCTCCCTTTTGTTTTCATAGTTTAAAAAAATAAAAAACACGTTTCCTTTTTCACAATATGAAAAACCCGGGAAAAAAATAACCCAAAAAACGAGATCTGAATATGAATTTTCTGTCGCTTTTCCCCTTTTTCTTCCGTCACAATAAGTAAACCCCAGCAAAAATGAGCCAATCAACGGGCATGCTCTGGAGTGCGGGTAACTCCAGTTAACGCACTGTGCATGTATATGTATACGATTTAACTCCGACACATGTTCAAAAGAAAGGTCCCCAAACTATGATACAAGTATGTGATGAATATCAATATTAAACAATTTATGCACATGCAAGTAAATATAATTTAAAACAAACACAAAAAACTCTTGACATCTGAAATATTTGTTTATTGATAATACTTTTTTGTATCAAACTCAATTTTGTTGGTGGTTCAGTATTATATCCAAAGAGTACAAAGTCGTGTTTATAAAGTTCTTGTATACCTTTTATAGTTTCAGGTTTAATTGTTTGATATGCCTGATAAAGATACTCATATCGCTGATGCTGACTCTGAACAGAGCTCAATGGAAAATCTCGGAAGTGTTTGTAAAACAATCTCTGTAAGGGTTTTTGCTTTATTCGCAAACATAGTTTCGTTGATTTTTGTCATTGGAAAAATCTATTCGTTTATTTGATAAACCCCTTTAATTTTTAAGTGGAAACCCAACCCCGGTTTTTAAAAATTTAAAATTAAGCCAAGGGCATTTTCAGTTTTCTAAAATTCTAGTTTTTGAGAAAAAAATGTATCCTTTCCGGGGAAATTAACCAGCCCCATGGTCATGGGCGCTTGGGGAAAATAAAACAAAATTGTTCCCTTTTTAACTCCAACCCGTTTTTAAAGAACTAAAATTTTGCGAATGTTCCTGCTTTTCAAATAACGAAAAAAATTTCGCGGGGGGACGAGGGGAGAAAAAACCCTGTTTAATTTTTCCCATTTAATGTTTTAAAAAATTGTTTGCTTTCCAAACCCTTTTTCCAATTTTAAAACTCCCGGGGAAAAATGTAAACATTCGGACCAGTGAAATGTTAGTTATATCCTTAAATCGTTCCTGTATGTGACGTATACGAAAATTCAAACTTTCCTCAAGAGAAGATTATGCGTTTTCTCATAGCTGAGGGAATAAAGCGTGAATATGGGGCACTTGACACTAGGCATTGTTCTAGATTTTTTTTTATTACATTCTGAACACCTGTCATCATATTGTAGCATATGTTGTGAAACCTTTCTTCTTGGAAAAATTTTGAAAATGAAATTTAACCGTAACTCAACCACTTTCAATATTAATTCCAAAGGCCCTTGTCCAAGAACTGCTTCCGCTTTTCGGTCTTTGCCAGTATGGAAATTGTAATTTTCTGACTCTATAAAATAATTTTGAAATGACCTTTTCCATTGTATTCTCAATAAATGTTTGTCACTACAAACATGTTTATTTGGTTTCCATTCTTGCTCTGTGAACCCTTGTTATAACTTTCGTAAATTGGGACTACTTGTATTTAACCTTTTTGGGGCTTAAAATGGGTTTTTTTTCCCTTATGTATCTTTGGTTTTTTTAAAAAGAAATGGTACAAAAACATTTTTGACCCCATTTAGTTTTATTATGAAATTAAATTTTATTTTCCCTTTTTTTTGAGGGCCAGGCGGCCCTATGTGATTCTTGGGTAAGTTTTTCCCCCGTTTTTATGTCATTTTTAAACCCGTACTTACTTTTCTGGGGTATTTTATCTTCCCGAGTTGCCCATGTTGGGGCTTAATTTTGTTTCCCAATTTTTGTATAGGGAATAATTTTAACAAAGAAGATAACTTGGGGGAAATTTAGTTTCGTTTTGGGGGGGTTCACTATCTCCAAAAGAAAATTATGTTTAAAATGTTCTGATTTTTATGGGAAAAAATGGAAGGAGACGTTTCTTCTGGTTGTCGAGTATGATGAATGTGATTTAAACGTAGACGACCGTGCTGATGATGGAAATAACAGGAGTTGTTTTTATGTTCCTTCTTGTCTGTTATCTCGTACCATATCCTGATTGGAATAAACTTTTCGTCAAAGGTTCTTGTCCTGGCAGTATGGAATTTTGCTATTTTCCCCTATTTTGCTTTCTGGAAAGGAAAAAAAAACAGTAAAAAAAAACGTGACAAGGTTAGACTTGTGAGTAGTATATCATGCGTGAATGGATACTCTAAATTATAATTTCAGATAATTTTGATTGTTGTATTTAATTTAATTATCGTATGCTGAATATTAAAAACTTTTATGGCTGTGTTAGGAAGAACATTTCAAAACGCAGCCTATAAAAGTGTTTGAACCTATAAGCCCGGATCTGCAATTTTCATTTAATTTTGTTAATACTTTTTAGGTTTTTTGTCTTTGATATATTTTAAAAAACGGGTTTTTTTAATTGGTGGAAAAAGGGGAAATAGGAATCCCCGAAAGGGGCCAAAATAACAGAATTGAAAATTTTTCCCGGCCGGTTTTAACAGCCTTAGAACCTAGGACAATAAATTTCCGGTTAAAATTGTAAAAATTTCCCCCCCTAGCCCTTTTCCCCTTTTTTTCCCACGTTTTTCGATTTTTTTTATTTATTTTTTACAAAACCGGGAAATTCTTCTAATTTCATTTTTAAACAGGGTTTGGGAGAAAAAACCCATTAATACAAAATTCGCAAAAAAAAAGAAAAAAACAGAACCCCTACGAAATAAATTTTGGGAGTATCATTTCCCATAAAAAGCCGGTATGATTTTTAAGAAAAGGCGTAGTTTTTTATGCTTTTTAAAAAAAAAAGGGCCACGTAAATCACAATAAGCTTTTTAGAGATTCCCCTGTTATGTCATTATATAAGAAAACACTAATATACCATCTTAGTTATATATACCATGCGCCCGATCCAAAGATGCATTGGCGGGGATGGGGCTTTTATCCCTTTTGTTATTTGGCTAATATGTATAGAAAACATACATTATAACAACTGTATTGTAAACATGTATGGTCTCATTTTTTATGAAAATGAAAAAAAAATTATGACTTAAACTCAGGAATGAAATCAAACTTGAGTCCTGCAGTAACCATTACAATTTTTGTTGTTTTTGTCTTTCTGTGGGGGATTTGTGTTTTTCTCTTATTTAAAGACACCTAAATCCCCCAAGAAAGCTACTAGTTAAATGTTGTCCACACCTCTCTTGAAATTATGCATTTCACCCGTAAGTTAGTTCTGTTTAAGGTTGTAGATTTATGCAAAGGAAAAATCATAATATGCCACGGATTTAAAAGATACTAGTAATAGAATTATGGGTAATAGAAAGGGAGCATCGAAACACGATTGCTATGTGATTTGTACGGAGGGGGTGTAGCCGCCGAGTTAAAATTTATTCAGAATTGCCGGTTTTTTGAGTTCTTTCTCTTTTATGTACAAACATAAAAAAAACACGTTTCCCTGTTGTCACAATATGAAACCCCCGGGAAAAAAAAGTAACCAATGAACGACATCTGAATATGAATTTTCTGTCGCTTTTCCTTTTCTCTTCCGTCACAATAAGTAAACCCCTATGGCAAAAAAGGCCAATCAATGGGCATCTTTTGGAAAGTGCGGGTATTTATCTATTTTAACAATACCTGCCACCCAGTTAACCACTGTGCAATGTATATGTAACAATTTTAACCCTCTGACACCATTTTCAACAGAAAGGTCCCCAAACTTATGATACAAAGTGATATTAATATAATAATAAACAATTAGTTAATATATATATACCTTCAACATTTAAATGCCATCAATTGTCGTTAATATATTAATATAAAAACAATTTTAGTTAATAATAACTTCAAACATAAAATGCCATCAGGGTGTTGCCGTTCTGATGTAATATAGGATTCACAAGAACTATCACACATAACAAACAAACAGTGAAATGGCACGACTTTCTGTTGCTTCATATCTGTAAACGTGAAGTCATCATGGGGGACCCTAAAATGGTTTTAAAAATATATTTCGTAATTCCCAAAACAAATTTTTATGGTTAATAAACACAGAAAAGAATATTGTGTGTGTCTAAGTGGGCCAATATTTCCCCGGGCACGAGCGCGCACTTGAGTAGAAACAACGACGTTTCCGTTAATTAAGCTGGATAGCAACCCCCCCCGCACCCCCCTCTCCCTTTTCACCCCCATTGAAGAAATCCTTGTTTTAAAAATAAGAAGGGGACTTTTTAAATTATTAACCGCATTTGTATTTTTTTTGGGATGTTTTCAAAAAAAAGTTTATAAGCTTTAAATATTTCAAAAAACTAGAAAGAGGTATACTAGTCTTTCTCTTTATATATTTATTATTTAATATAATTATTTCAATATATACATTTATTTATATTTATTTACTTCAATAAAGCTGAGGGTGACTGCATAAAGCTAAATTTATCAGGGCATACACTTCATCATCAGAAAAAATCAATCCAATGACAATGAACAAACGTTTAAAGAGTGCCACATCATGAAACATTCCAATTATATAACTTTTATTTCTTATAAATATGTAGACAAAAAAGAAAATATCTAAAAACATAAATGAAAACTTCTGTTTTGCAAACAAATGTAACATGTAGAATCAAAATCAGTTTTTTTTAAACTTTTATTATAAGCCGAAAGTGGGGAAAGGGGCGGTATGCCTCTATGGTGGAAAAAAAAACATTTAAAAATTTAAAAAACACGTGAAACATTATAAAAAAATACCCAAACCGGTCGGTTACTTTGATAATCGGAATACAATTACAGTTCATTGTTAGTCATCTATTATTCCAGTCCATTATTGTTGTAAGTTGAGATGTAGAACAATGCAACGATTTTCATGTATGCTTCTCTTTTACCTATAAATTCTAATTGATAAACAAACCAAACAAAAACAAAATGGTACAAATATCACGATTCAACTCTTGTCTAAAAAACAGCCCGGTGAGGTTTTAGGTAGTAGTTTTGATTACTTGGTAAATTAATGAACAAAATGTTCGCATTTTTGTTGTTTTAAGTGAATTTTTGGATTAATCTTAAATAAATCCTTGCTTCGTTCTATTTAGTACTTACATTAACAACATCTGCTTTTATGACTTGACAGTCAATGAATAGTAATGGGATAAGTTATTCGTATATTTTATGAAAGTCTGGGTATTTGTATTTTATCCATAGTGGGCGTAATGTGTATATATTTCTTGCAGGTAAGGTTTCAAGGAAAGATCATTAAATGTATACAACATTTGGTTTTGGTTCGGACGGTACCCAATGTATGGGGTGTTTTGACGGTGAATATAGATGCTTACCACGTCGTTTTGATTATAGTTGGTTTATTTCAAATATAAACAGTTTATAAATAGTTTTTAAATGCCATTTATCCACTTGTAACACGTCCATATTAGGTAAAATTTTTTGTTTTGGTTTTCAACAACAAAAGCCCAAAAACACAAAGAAAAAAAAATCAATATAATTTCTATAGGGAGTTAGTTCAGATATTATTTGGCGATCTTTTCACTGTTAATAATGATATAAAAAAATCAATATTTGTTTAATACACAGGATTTTTAATTTTTTTTTATCTTTAATGAATTTAATTTATCTTCAAAATAAATGTTCAATGTTGTCATTTTTTTACTTATCTAGAAAAAAGAAAAATTATTAATTGATTCCTTGGAATTTTCTCTGTTATAATTATCTTCATAGAGGATTTAAAAAATGCTTAATGTATATCACTTTCAGGTAATATGAAGAATCCTTTTGAATTAATAAATGCTTTAATCATTGTGAACGATAGATGAATGTCACTGAAGGTAAATATCATATTTTCCTAAACCTTTTAACTATATAATATACATTAAGAATATTCTCAAAGATATTTGTTGATAATTTTCTAATAAAATGCAAAGTGCTTATGTTTGATTTCAGGCTATGGAAAATATTTTCGTTTGTTCGTGATAAACGATAAAGTCGAAAAAACGTTTTCGTGATAAACGATAAGTTCGAATATACATGTAAAGATTGGTGTGTATAAAACTTGTTATGTATGCGTTATGTAAAAAAAATATAGCAGAAAAAATTAACATATAAAAGAATTGGCCTTCAAAAAAATCCAACAACACAGGAAAAGGAAAACAAAAAATCTGCATCACTTGGGTTACTAAAGAAAAAAACATATTGTCTTCAATGTGAGATTACGAAGGTCATTAGTGTGGAAGTTTGAATAGTTATCGGCACTCCAAGACATCCTGTATTCTACAAAATTCATTATTAAAACTTATTGGAACAATCAACAACCAATGACAATTTTAACATTCATTTGAGTATGGAATGCAATTTTAAAAACAGCACAAAAGGTCCTCAATGCGAGTGAAAACAAATGGGCTCATAGAAATAAAAAATAGCCTTATTTATTATCAATGTTTGAATTGAAACGGTTGGATTAATAGGCTATATCAGTTAAAAATTCGTGATTTAACGTACTAGGTATTATCATTTTTGAAGTGAAAATGAAAACAATCTTCACTTTAATGAAGAGTAAAGTGTAGTTTCCTGATTTATTATCAAATTCAAATTCATTATTTCTCTCAGTGCATCATACATGATACAAACATAAGGTATATAACAATTAACATTAGTAAAAACGGCAATACATACATGGCAAGTCATTTACAGAGAACAATCACAATACATAAAAAAAGATTAACCATCTAATGTTTATTTTTATTTCCTCCTTCGTTCAGTAGAAAGTAAATTATTTATTGATTCTGCAGCATAATTAATATGTATAAACAGCTGAGTATGACCACTGGTTTGGAAATTTAACATAAAATGATGTCTTATTTCCCACATTAATCAGCTTTTGACCACCCTGTCATGCATAATTTATCGGGCAAACGAAGTAATTTGTTTTTATAAGAGAGTTAAAAAAACTGAATTGTAAAAGTTTAATGTAAATTCGAAATTTGTGGTCGACTTCAAAAAACAAATCAAAAATTTTAACACATTTTTTGCGGGGTTTTATTTATCTCCTTAAATTTCACGGGCCTTAAGTTTACACGGTCTCACGTGGGGTTTTTAGTTATTCACAGAAAGTGTTTATGGATTTATTTCTACGGAATTAAGCAGTGTTTCTAAGAGTTTGCAAGTGATTTTGGATACATTTTGCTAGGGAAAATTGTGGGCAATACTGGGAGTTATACCAAAAGCTCTAGTGGTTGCTAATTCGTGTTGCAGTGCTGTTGTCATTAAAGGAAACGTAATTGTTAACAATTAATTGTTAATATCATAGATATGAGCTTGGTTTTGTTTTCATTAAATTGGAAGTTTTTTCTTATTTCTGTGGTACCGATTTGGTTTCTAAATTAAATTTAAAGTTAATTTACAACTGTACAGAAATATATAAGTAAGTAAAAATATATGCATTTGTAGATATACCGTATTCTTAATAGCATCAAACTCATACAGGTTAAATAACACTAAATTTAAGTGGTCTGGTAAAAAAAATATTTTTATATTCATGTATTTTTGAAGTGTTTTCTTAATATTTCGTCATATTTTCGACAATATTCGACATTATATTATTTTCTATTTACTTAAAATTGTCGTATTCCATTTCGATGTTAAGTCGTGCACCGGATAATAGTTACTGCGTGCGGTCACCGTAGTTTGTTTACACCGCTGTCCTCATCCGGAATATTACATTATCAAATAGCATGTTCGATAACTCTTACGTGATAAAGACATGATTCATTTTATAAAAATAAAATACAAGACTTTTTTTTTCAAAATTACATTTCCGGGCAATTTGCGCATGCCGTACACAGTAACGGTCTTATAAAACAAAATTAGTCTGGTTTCCCCTGACCTACATTTACTACCGGGAAATTAGTAAACGTAGATAACTTAGTAAAAGGGGAAGTAACTCCAGACTAATATCAAATATGCATATAATACAATCAAATGGTCAATATCAATACTTTATAGAAAAAATATATCATTAAAATACACAGTATTTTAAACGTTAACTTATTATAGAATCTACTATCACTTAGTGCCACAAGTATCAACATGTTTCAAATTATATCTACTGGTAAATAAGTACTTAGGACAGATACCATCCTATTAATAAGGGTGTAAATAGCACGACAAAACAAAAATAAATGTATATATAATAAATAGTGTTACAGCGTTTGGGACAAACGTTTGATTAACTGTAAAGAATAGTGATTCGAACATCGAAGGCTTTAAATATATTCATTGATAAGTTTCTGATTTCTATTTCATTTTCTGAATTCATCAATGCAACAAATTGAGGTATATTTGGTCTTTTCCAAAAGTTTTTTTACATGTACGTAGATCTAGAAGAAGTGAATGACTAGAAGGACATAATATTGTTAAATCTGTAATTCAAACATAATAAGAATTACATTAAGCATGCATTAACCTTGTGGAATAATTGTAGAATAATTAAAAATCTTAAAATCCAATTTGTATATTTCTATAATTTGTTCAAATGTTTCATATCTAATTTCACTATACGCGTCTACTAACGCTCTATGGCGTTGTCGTTTCATTTCCGATGACGTCATTTCGTTTCTATTTATAGAAGCAAGTATTACATCTGTGACGTATGATGTGTCGTAATATTGTAATTTACTATTAAACAATTTGCTCGGAAATTCTAATGTTTCTTTCAAGTAGCCTTGTATTTTAAAAGCGGTCCATATTCTTTGTATTAATTTTTGGCCATACACGCAAGTTCCTTTTTTCGTTATCTTGTTTCTATTCATCACTGTTTGAACAATTCCTGGAATAGTTGTTTCAATTCTGTGTTCATGTAACGCTGATAAAATCGTGTCAAGCTTTTCATCAGGTACACTGAACGCTTTCAATGCCTGCTCTACGTCTTTTGAAAAGCTTTCTTGTTTTACAAGTATATAAGCGTTTACATCACACGGACGACATAGATTATAAATCGGTGCCCAGTGGCGATTTAATGTCTGTCCCATTCCCACTTTAAGAATGATAAAATCCAAAAAACTCTTGAAATGTGACGTCATCAAAACAATAATTTCGCTTCCATGGCGACCTGAGCTGCATGACTTCACGATTTAGGTTTATATTTAGAAACAAGAATGACTTATCAATGAACGCTGAATACAGACGACTAAACGGGTCACGTGACACAATGACAGAGAAAGAGTGTTTTCTTTGCTGGCTGTTAAAATTTACACTAAACTTCCCCATCAAACCATGGACACGTGACCTTGCTTTAGAAAACACAGTCTCTGAATTCTCCACTCCATTTTCAAGAATGTAAAATGCCTGTGTCCAGAAAGTCGATCCTGATTTCGGAACCTTGCAATATGAAAATCCGTAAGTTTTAGAGTAGTAGTACCTTGTATTATTTTTACCTTTGTATATAAGGTCACGAAATATATCTGTGTCTTTACAAACTGTTTTAATTCTGTTAATTCTTTCTTTTTGCTCCGTTGAATACCCTTGTTTTAAATGATTACTTGATGACGTCATTTTGTAATTTGTAGTTGCCATGACGTCGCGTGAACTGTTCGCCGCCATAGTTTTAATCTGTTTTTGCAGTTTTTGTAAAAAATGTGTCAGCTCTTCATCTCGGGAGGGGATATCAGTAGTGGAGTTGTACATATAAGGTACAATCATATCCTCTGGTGTACTATAGGCAAACAAACTCTCGTTACGTTGGCTTCTAATATCAGTGTAACTGTTATCTGAAATGAAACGACATTATTCAAAGTACATGTTAAAGATATACTATGCTCATCCTTGGAATAAAATATTTTTATCACAGAAATTTATCAAAAACAATATAATTCTTACCGAATATGTCCAATTTGAATAAAAAAATTAATAAATTATTTATTGGAAGCTGCGTTCCCTATAACAGGTCATGTAATTTTGGTATTTTCTTTAAAAAAACTGCCAGTTTTTTTAATGACACGTTGTATTCATAGTGTAACCACCTATAGTGTGTAGAATTTTAAACACCATATATTTACTTTGTGTGAAATTAAAACATGTTTATTTTATATTTACAAAGAGACTGTGTATGATTATAAATATTTTCATATTTGAAATTTGAGCATAGTATATCTTTAACTAAATATAGATTTTAAATGACTTTACGTTTCATTTATAAAAGTGCTTTTAATCATCATATTGATACAGTGAAAACTGTAAGAACAATACCCTTCCGGTGATTAATAATGTGGTCGTTGTTGAAAGGTGTTGCATTACAGAGGTTAAGCCTATTTGAAGTACAAGTAGTATTGATTTTGGAACAACTGATATTGTTAAGGAATAGATATCAATTAATTGAGTGCATTGTTGTAGAATAATGCACGGCTTGAGTTCAAATGCGCAGGAATATAATTACAGATAGACCTGAGTGATTAATTACAAAGCATTTGAATGATAAATCGTACATTATTATATCACAACGCAAGAAAAGTGAATATCTTTTTCCATTCTAACATGCCTTTAAAAAGAGAATTGATAAAAATATGCTGAACTGAATTAAATAACAGCAACAACCATAACAGCAACTTCAAAATGAAACGTTTAAAACTGAATTAAAAGAAATGTGTTTTTGGTATCTGTGAATTCAACACATATTTACGGTAACTCATTTTTGAGACACCGTTCAGAACTTTACTACACTAATTAGTATCAAAGTAATTAGTATCAAACAACAATGTGGGGGGAGAGAGATCTTCCAATTTTTTTTAATTCATATATATGTAAGCACGGACACTATTTCATCGCAAACTGTTAGTCCATTATTAATTAATAAATTAGAAATCAATATCACCCGGCTATCTGACCCGTGTTTTTCTATCAGTTATTTATCACACAGTTTTCACTTTTATGAGATTCAATTATTTATGACAAGTATATGTAAGTATACTTAAGTATATGTATATATTCAGCATATGTTTGTTTGTATGGAGTGGAAATCAATCAGAGAATTTACTATATATTTTCCATACTTTACAATGTTTCAATGTATATCACAGTGTGATAACATTGTTTAAAACATTATTTATTTATTAAGCTGCCCTTTGTTTACGTATCAACGGTCAATTCTTACCAAAAAGTTAAATTTAGCAGTTTTAAACACAAATGTTTGTTGAATATAAAATTATCTGACAAATTAAAGCATTTGTCTAATTTTTTGTCAAATTTAAGTAATTATATGAATATAGATGCCATTTGGTAACTTAATCTTATATTACATTTTACATAGGTTTTGTTTATTTTTATACAGTAACTACGTAAACGGAAATAAATAAATAAATTAAATGAATAAATAGAAAGGATTTGAAAATTATGATTTACATATTTCTGATTTCTCCCAAACTCTCAACGCTACCAACAACCTCAAATTTTCCGTCCAACCCCTGTCCCCCACACACTATCCCTCCCTCCCTCATCCCCCACAACTCACACCACACTCATACTCCCCACCCCAGATTTAAACTACTTTTCCCATTAAACTAAAATCAATCAAAATATAAAATATATATATATATATAGTGATCCAACCCCTGTCCCCAATCCCATCCACTCCAAAGCAACTCTTGTTCCCCCCCACAAACACCACACACTAAACACACTGTCACTGACTCCCCAAATATAACAAACACTTTCCATTATTAAACCTATAAAAATAGATAAAATCTTTGTAACTATAATAATATAGCAATCGATGTAAAAGATAGATTACAACCTGTGCCCTTACTCACAACAGATGTGCCAATTTATAATTTAACATTTTCCTTTCAAAATGAATCAAGGCAAAAGCGACAGATACAAATTGTTTACATTGTTATATCTATAATTTTTACTATTGATTTTCCTTGAGCAAAATTATAATTATAATTATGTATGAGACATGTATAGCCTTTTGTTTGTAGGCTGTTTTAAACTCATCTTTCACTATGTTTGAAATATTTTGATCACTTTCTTTGCTGTATTAAGTATACAATTATTGCCTGTGAAGTCAAAACTTCCTTCTCTTTTTAGGATCGATGGTTGTCCGTCATCCGTCGTCCGTTCACATTTAGTTGTTAACACTCTAGCGGTCACATTTTTGCCTCAATCATCATCAAACTTGGTCCAGGCATCCATGTCTAGGTATAACTTAGTATGATTCGAGCCCATGGGTCATCTCGGTATGAAAAAACTACGGTCAGCAGGAGCTTAAAATTAGAAAACTTGTCTAAAACTGCTAGTGCGGCACAATTTTGAACTCAATTGTCATCAACTTGGACCAGGAAAGTTGTCATTAGGTCATTGCTGGATAAATCCGAGATGGTTCATCTCCGGATGAACAAACCTAGGTCACCGGAGCAAAAAAATAGAAAAAATTCTGTTTTTAAAACTCTTGTGAACTACTGTTGTGATCCAATATACCTGTATAAATTGGTCTTAGGAAAGGTGGTCTGTTTTGATGACTTTCTTAGCCAAGTTCGAACACGAGTCATCTTGGATAAAAAACTAGGTCACACCGCCCAAATATGGAAAAACCTTGTTAACATTCTAGTGGTCACATTTTCGACAATTATCATCAAACTTGGTCAGGATGCTTGTCTAGGTAATTGCTCGGATGAGTTCGAAATCGGATGTGAAACTAGGTCACTGTAGCTAAAAATAGAAAAATCTTGTTAACACTCTAGTTGATACTTTTTTGATCCAAGTATCCTGAAAATTGGTCTGAAAGTTTGTTTTGATGATTTCTAGCTCAAGTTTGAATATGGGTCGCCTTGGTAAAAAAATAGGTCACACTGCTCAAATATGGATAATCCTTGTTAACACTGTAGTGGTCAAATTTTTGACTCACCTGTCATGAGACTTGGTCAGAATACTTGTCTAGGTAATTGTTCGGATGAGTTTGATGGGTCAGGTGAGCGATCTAGGGCCATTATGGCCCTCTTGTTTACAATAAATAACTATCTTATGATGCACCTTAATGAGGGTCCATCCACCCATAAGGGCACAAAAGGCAGCTTTCACAGTCAAGGACGGATCCTAGGAATGTCAATAGTCGTGCCCTCAAGGAGTTAATATTAAAGCACAAAGTGGTGATAGTTCACATAGGCGCAATTTCCAATTTCCATGGAGTAGTAGTCAAAGATTTTTGAGTCAAAAGTAGGTCACTGTACGGCGGTCAATGAGAACCTAAACTTACAGTAACCTGAATAACCAGTAATTGAATGTATCAGATCTGTCTGTCTGTCTGTCTGTCAACTTTTATAGAAGAGGGCTGCCACCAGTACAAAGCCAGGCCAGCCTGCACATCCATGTGGTCTGACTGTAGGTTAGATTTCAGTTTAATTAATTCCCTCATCATCTTTTATCATGAAGCTTAGGGCACAGGTGTACGTCGTATGGCAATGACTTACACTATACACCCGTTCCCCCTCTACAACCCCAAACCCTTAACATATCATCCAAACATCATTAGTATTGACAAAATAAATTTTATGGAAAAAAAATGTATGACTCTAAAAAATTGTAAAGGTATTTTACTTTCATTTTGCATAGAAATATCACTAGCATCTCAATAATCAGTTATATTCATCAATCTTTCACAAATCTTAACAATCTTGGTGTCAAATCTTAGATAAATAAATACTCTTTAAGAAAACAACACTGGCACATTCGCTGATTATACATAGCAAGAAATATTTAAGCCCAAACTGTCAACAAATGAAACTAGGAAGAGATCTGATTGCACTGTTTCGGTTAAACTCTCACGAGTTAAACACAGTAAATTCACAGTGAATAACTATATTTCTTTGTATTGCATATTTAGATATGATAAAATTAGATTATAATTTGTAATTATTGTTCAATCAAAGCATCATATGAAACTATAACGCACCTTTTTCCTATAATCCAAAATGAAAATAAAATGGCGCAGCAGAATGTTTTCAAATGGAGTATTTTCATTGGTCACATGAAAACCTCGGACCAATGAAAATACTTAAAGAAAAACAACTATGCTGTGCAAATTTACTTTCATTTTGGATTGAGAATTTGACATACATATACGAATTATGTACTAGTTTAAACTTTATTACGGTCTCCCCAAATGTATTACTTATACACTTTGTCAAACTTTAATCTGTTGTTTTTTATTATTATTATTTTCCTCATACCGCACTTATGTACACGATGGGCACACTTCAAACCACTTGCCCCTCCCCGCTAAGGGTTCGAATCCCAAGATGGACTTTGGATTCCTTCATGTGAGGAAGTTATCCAGCTAGCTTACGGAACGTCGGTGGTTCTACTCAGGTGCCGGTTCGTGCCTGAAATAATATACGGAAGGGTACCTGAGGTCTTCCTCCACCAGTAAAACTGAAACGTCGCCAAATGACATATACTGTGTCGGTGTGACGTAAAACCCAATCAAACAAGCAAACAATCATGATGGGCATACTGTCACTTTAAGAAATTATCAGTAATCGTACTTGTAAAAACAATTCCCAAGTTAATTAATTGTAAGAATCGTTTAAGAACATGTGGATAAAATACGAACTTAACTTTTAAAACAGCAATGTCATTCAAATTATATTTCCGTCTGAAAAACAAATGTTCTTATCTGGTACTTATTTCGTTTCTTAAAAGCTGTAAATAATTATAAAGCCTTACGTCCAAATACTGTAAAATAATGTCAGTTCCTAAAAAATCAAAATAATATGGATTTATGAGGCATAATGTGCCTTTAAATATAAATTTAACAAAAACTCACCTTGCGTGTAATATATTATTCCACTGTTTTTATATCGAGGGGTGAAAGCGAAAGAAGTCTAAGTGCATATCTGTAAATTTTTCAGGAGAGACAAAAAACTGTCCTGTTTTTTTCAGGTTATATATATAATTATCATTTGTGTACTCTGAAATGAAAATCAGTTATATTGTACATTTAAAAAAATTACTTGAAAAAAAAAATGAAAGAAAAAGATTATATTTGTAAAAATGTACTTAGACTTTTTTCGCACTCAATTTTTGTCAAAATATCACAAATTTGGTAAATGCGAAAAAATTCTAAGTGACGGAAAACAGGAAATAAACACCCTATTTAGACAGAAATGCTCAATACAGAATAAGTTTAATCATTACTTACTATTCTGAATATAGAATTGGAAAGAAAATAATATAAATTAAAAAAAAAAAATTCACTTGGACCTTTTTCGCAGTAAATGGGTCATTTAAAACTTGCCTGATAAATAAGTGGCATTCGACCATATTAACCAGATACTTTCATCTTAAAGGAAAATAATATTAAAGTTTATAAGATTCTAAGACTAATTTAGGTTTCTACATATTTATTATTGCATTCAGTTTCTAAAATAATGGATTTTTTGTGTTATTGTGATCATAAACAGAAGTTTTAGTTGATTACCATAAGATAATCACTAAAACAGATACTGGAAGGAATTATGTTCTTCAATTCTTATGTAAAACCAGATAACAATCACTGTCACTGCAACTGTATCAACATGCAACTATTCCACAAGTCCAACTCTACAATCACTGCCACTGCTACATTATCAACAGCTAACAATTGCACAAGTCCAACTCTACAATCACTGTCACTGCTACAGTATCAACATGCAACAATTGCACAAGTTCAACTCTACAGTCACTGCCACTGCTACAGTATCAACAGCTAACAATTCCCAAGTCCAACTCACAATTCCACAAGTCCAACTTTACAATCATTGTCACTGCTTTAGTATCAACATGCAACTATTCCGCAAGTCCAACTCTACAATCACTGCCACTGCTACAGTATCAACAGCTAACAATACCACAAGTTCAACTCTACAATCACTGTCACTGCTACAGTATCAACAGCTTACAATTCCACAAGTCCAATTCTACAATCATTGTCACTGCTTTAGTATCAACATGCAACTATTCCACAAGTCCAACACTACAATCACTGTCACTGCTACAGTATCAACAGCTAACAATTCCACAAGTCCAACTCTACAATCACTGTCACTGATACAGTATCAACAGCTTACAATTCCACAAGTCCAACTCTACAATCACTGTCACTGCTACAGTATCAACATGCAACAATTCCACAAGTTCAACTCTACAATCACTGTAACTGATACAGTTACTGTATCAACATGCAACAATTCCACAAGTTCAACTCTACAATCACTGTCACTGATACAGTATCAACAGCTAACAATTCCACAAGTCCAACTCTACAATCACTGTCACTGCTACAGTATCAACATGCAACAATTCCACAAGTTCAACTCTACAATCACTGTCACTGATACAGTTACTGTATCGACATGCAACAATTCCACAAGTTCAACTCTACAACCACTGTCACTGCTATAGTATCAACATGCAACAATTTCACAAGTTCAACTCTACAATCACTGTCACTGCTACAGTA